TGGCTACAATCCATCTTTGTGGCCATACTAAAGAAAGCAACAAGCCGGAAATGCGAAGACTACAGACTGATAAGCTTGATGAGCCACGTGCTGAAAGTCTTCCTGAAGGTGATCCAACAGCGCATACGCTCTACATGCGAAAATGCATTGAAGAACACACAGTTTGATATCTGCAAAGGACTAGGCACAAGAGAAGCAATCTTCTGTCTACAGATACTACTACAGCGATGCTATGAACATCAGAAAGAAGTGTACATCAGCTTCATAGATTACGAGAAAGCCTTTGACTCAGTAGACCACGACCGACTAGCAGCTCTATTAAAACAACTGGGACTAGATAAAAATGACATCAACTTCATCATTGCTCTTTATTGGAAGCAAACAGCCCAACTCCGATATGACAACGAATTGACAGACCCAACACCAATACAAAAAGGTGTACGACAAGGCTGCCCACTGTCACCGAGTCGTTTCAACATCTACTTGGAGCAGATTTTTGATCGAACACTAGCAGATAAAAACATTGGTATTAAAGTCAATGGACAATACATCAACAACATCAGGTATGCCGACGACACTGCACTGCTGGCCAATTCGGAACAAGACCTACAACAAATCTTGGACGAGGTTGCCGCAGAGAGTCAAATATGGGGCTTATGAATTAACAAAAAGAAAACAAAGGTTATGAAGGTCAGCCGAACTACAAGCGAAATAACAATCAAGCTGGGCAGCGAAAAATTGGAACAAGTACACCGATTTAAATACCTTGGTGTAATCATTGACGATCAGTTGAACCATGAAGTTGAAATCAAGAGCAGAATTGAACAAGCAAGGCAAGCATTTATTAAATGGAAAACACTCCTTGCAGACCGCAACTTGAGTACATCACTGAAACTGTGCACACTGAAATGCTACATCTGGTCAATTTTGCTGTACGAAGTAGAGACATGGACACTGACAACAACAGCAACAAAAAGGCTCGAAGCTTTCGAAATGTGGCTGTATCGAAGAATGCTGAAAATCCCATGGACAGCCAAAACCACCAATACACAAGTTCTGCAAGATATGGGCACTGACAGGCAACTGCTGAAGACCATCATTAGCAGGAAGTGTTACTACCTAGGCCACATTGCCCGAAACGACCACAAATACCAGCTATTAAAGCAAATCCTGGAAGGAAAAATCGAAGGGAAAAAACGACCAGGACGGCCAAAAACGACATGGCTCAGTAACATCAAAACATGGCTACAATTAACAACAGCACAAACTCTACACGCCGTGCTAGACCAGGACCAATATCATCGTGAAGTCGCACACGCCGTTAGGCAGCACTAAAGAAGAAGAAGGATCTAAAGGTTCACATACTTTTTCAGACATGGTTATTGAAAGTAGAATAATTTGAAGATATATGTTTTTGCGTCATTTGTTTAATCTGGCTATCATTATCTATTATTATGACTTAGATTAAGATCTAATAACAATAGGTTTGATATATGTAAAATATGTGAAAACCCTAAGGGGTTAACATGCTTTTTCTCGGCACATTAGATAATTATTTCGTGGGAATTTCAGTGATTTCTGGAGAGCATTAATTTTTTCGTGTAGTTAAATGTACTCCATCTCAAGCACTTTACCTATTTCCTTTATGAAATAACCCATTTTCTTTAGCAACATTTGCGGATTTTTTTCAACCAAATTCTAAAATGTCAGCCTGCGGTTGATGAAGTTAATTTTTGATTGAAACCCGCTTACAGCATTAACATTTTGCAGTCGGTGCACCGTCATGAATGAAAAAAATATTCAAATTAAATGCCTTAAAATTGCATAATAAGGAACACAAACGTATTTTTTGCAGTTTTTGAGTTGGCAAATTCCACACATTTGTATACTTACATATTTATTCCACGAAAGTCTAAGAAAAAATAACAATTTTTTTACCCTTCTGATGGCCATTCAATAAGACCAAATGTATTTGTATTCTGTCATATTTGTAGCATTAGAAGCTTGCACACAGACACACACATAAAAGCATAATACCAAAAATAAGATTTATTTAGCACGTGATAATAAGAAAGCATACAACAATAACAGAGAAATAACAATAGCAATAACATGATCACCAAAATGGCAACAACAAAAAAGCATAAATATGGAGTTACATATTTATTTTTACTATAGAACATCTTAAAGCTTTTGGCCGTAAGTGGTCTAATTAACTGAATGAGACTCATGTTACAGCCACCGTGCCACTCCTCACTTTCCGTGGTTCACGGTGGCTTTGTCACATAAAGTGCGAATGAAAGCCACTCTGCCCCCGAATCCAAGAATCTAGTTCATGACATTTATTAAACCTGATGTAATGCATGTTGCGGCGTAAGTTCCCTACGCTGTGGTTTACAATGGCAATGTGAATAGTTTATTCAAATCAATTATTGACAGCACAGTGGGTCAAAATTTGAATCAGACACAAGAACAACTTTATTCAGAGCAAATAGGAAGCTGGGAATTATTATGATTCAAATATGTAGGAATATTTATAGGAAAGTAACAACTAGATATATAAAGCACTGGCTTAAAAGGGGGTATGAAGATGAAAACAGACTATGTAATTTGAATGTATGCACTGTTTGTGATAAAATACTGGGTCAGAAGTGAGTATTTATTCACGGTTGACAATAGGATTAATTTGTTGCAGAGGTAAAGGCTGAAAAAAGTAATGCAAAGAACTGCCCGAATTCTTTACACAAACCAGGTCAAATAGCAGTTGCTGAGAACGAAATATTTTCAAGAATGTGATGAAACTAACCGAAGTTTACCTTTCAAACGAAGGTCATCCTTCAATAAACAGTAAAACATTTCTTAAGCATCCCAATACAACTTTGGGATAATATTAATTTTAATTCATTGTATTGGTTATCCATTCGTATTATAAGATCCACTATAGATTAGAAAAGGTACCAAGTAGAAATGGTGAGATTAAATAGCAAATGGTGATACATATCAAATAAGCAGTGCTTACATATATTGGCGGACCTGCGCCTATGGTGCAATTCCTCATTCTCATGGAAGGAGCAAATATCTCCTAATGAGATATGTATATAGCAGCTGTTTCCTTCTCAACAGATGGTATACATTTACTGACCTAGGATCATGCTGACTCAGTCCTGACTGGGATTAGAACTTAGGTCTCAAACTTAAAGCCCTGCTAATCTTTCCATATATATCACAGTCAGGGTTAAACTTTAGACTACAGATTTTCTCTTAAATTATACTTTATTAGCATGTCCCCAAATACACATTTTCAGCATCAACAAAGTCTCCTTATGAATAGAAAGTAAATCAGAATAAGAAAATTAAATTGACTGTATTTCCGATTCCTCAAAACATAGTCCTTGTAAATTACACTGTGGAGGTTGAATATAATTTTTATTTGAAATTAAATAATATTTAAATGAACAAAGCAAAACAAACCAGGAAATAACTAAGTAAAGAAGAAGGGCATGAAATAATGACAATTTGATGTTTGTTGTGGAAATCGAACAGGAAGATAAAATCACAACAAGACAGTGCAGAGAGTGGAACAAAATGCTATTTACACCGTTGGAACCACATTTGCCAGTAGCAAAATATGATAATTGGTTTTTTACCCTTTTATCTGGCAACAAAACTGACCCCTTTTTTTACAAGGAGTCATGTTTGCATTGACCACAATACCTGCAGTTGGAATGCAAAAAAAAACATAACTCTGATAATGTATGCACTGTCCTTGAAATTGATTGGTTACCAATTGGTTACCAATCAATTTCAAGGTGTCAGTTTTCTTGCCCGATAAAAGGGTAAAAAAACAATTATCAAAATGCTATTTGTTCTGTATTATAATTATTAAGAAGCCGAGTTTAATAATACCACATATCCAATTTTAAACGTGTGATTGTATGATGTATGTTAACGATTGTATCATTGTGTGGCCATGTATGGAGGCCCATGCATGTCATCCAGTAATCTAGAGTGAGAATTATATTAATGACTGCAATGCTGCATGGTGTACAGTATGATCTCCAAGCATATGTTTTTCATATCGGTTTTATAGATTGTCAAGGTCTTGCAATAGTAGGTCACCTTAGACACGGAGAATAACTTGGTGATTTTTTTTGCTGAAACTTAAAGGTCGTGTTGGTGAATACAAGAATAGAGTCTCCTGACACGTTTACAGGAGCGTCCTCTTGAAATGTTTGATCTGGTGGAGTATTATTGTATGCAGGAGCGTACAAGAGTACCAGGAGAAAGCCCACATATACAAGGGGAAAACAATATGCACATACATCCAGTAACTGGTGTGCTATACGGTCTTCTACAGGCAAGATCTTTAAAGCAAGCGGACATATCATGGGTATGGTGACTCCAACTTTGCATGAGCCACCAACCCTGATTCCAACTCGCTGGACCACAGATGTGTACCCGATTTTAAATGATTGGAAAATACGTGGTTGGAAAAAACTTTGCAAGTCTGTACATGAATGTGTTCTGGTGGCGGGAGAACACACACACACGAGATGAACGTCAGATTATTTAATGCGAGTGTGAGATCAAGCAAATTTTAAGTGAAAAAGGGTAATAAGTCCATGATGAAGAAATAATTGTTGTTGTAACACCTATATATATAAACAAATGTAAAATTTTACCAGGTATGGTCCACTGAGCTTTGTAGCTCCTTTTTTCGAAGCGACCTGACCACAAATGATAGCTCAACAAAGTGGCTCATCATTTGTAAATTTATAGTAGTCAAATACTCTAAACGCATGTTTCTAAATGTGGAGGGAAAAACCGGAGGATCTGGAGAAAAATCCACACGACCACAGGAAGAACATGCAAACTCCAAATAAACAGCAAAGGGTCTGGATCGAACCCACGACCTCCTGTATACCGGGCAAGGTAGTTATACCGCACGTGCAGATGAGCGCTTTGAGAGCGAGTTGCGGCGGTCACACTGTGCTGCTCACCAGCTGCTGGCCATGCACTCCCCAGGCGGCGTGCTGCAGCACCGAGTCTTCCACCTCCGGGGGATTCAGCTCGCTCACCTCCCTGAGGATGAACGCCGCCAGACACGCCATAAGCTCACTCAGCAACGCATCAATCAGCCATGCTCACCACAACGCATCATCAAAGTGAAACACCACAAAATATAATCGGAATTTTAGCCCACCACAAATTATCACCAAAGCAGACCACCACAAAAGACAACTGGCCTTGCCACAAAACTCAACTGGCTCAACTATAAATTATCATCAAACCACCCCATCACCAGAAAACAACACAATAAAACAAACCCACCACGAAATATCGTGATAGCAGCCTTTCGTAAAAAAACATCAAATGTCACGCCACACAACACTGCTAAAACACCTTTAATCCAGAAGCGGAGCCAGGATTTTCAGGTAGGGGGGGCAACCCCTCCAGCAATGAAAAATAATAGGAGTTGTTAGTAAGTGTGCGGCGATAACGCATGGCCTGGAAGTACGACATGATTTGATTGTTCCTCACCATCGCAGCAGTCTCCTTCTCGACATACAGCAGGATGGCGTCATTGAGGTAGTCGGAATCCATTGCGGTGCGCAAATGCGTCTTCATGATTTTCAGGACGCTGAAGACGCGCTCGGCCGTGGCTGTCGCCACCGACAACGTCAGTATCAGCTGCAGCAATCGGTATACAAGGTGGTAGCTGGCCATGGCCCGGCCGGTCTGCACCAGCATGACCGATAGTTCAGGGAGCATGCCCACATTCTTCAATAGCTCGCCCCTCTCTATCTCCCTGCCGAAGTGGACCAGCTGCTGATCGAGAAGCATTAGGTCGATGTCAGGAAAGTCGATCATGTAGAACTTGCGGGCTAGCTCGACGAGCTTGTCGACATTGAACGAGGTGAACTGCTTGCGTGGAGAGATACATGCTGCTAGGCGGAGCATCTCCATCGACTCGGCACTGAATCTGTAGGCGAACTCGCCAAGCATCATGTCGATCACTGCGTAGAACAGGTCGACATGGAAAACATGATCATTGGTGTTCATGTGCCCATCGCGATGAGGCCGGCCAGATCTGACGAAGTTGGCGGTCATATCGGGCACCTCGATCTTGTGGGTCTCACAGAACTGCTGCACCTTGTGGAGCAGGTCGTCATAGCCGGTAACGCGCATCTCTGTCAGCGCTTCGACGACGCCGCAATGCATTGACGATATCCTGGTCCTTGGTTTGCAGCGCCTGCGACAGATCATGCGTGATAAGCAGCATCTTCTCCATTAGGTGCAAGATGAACGCAAACTTGAACGTGCACATGCCATCGAGCAGGCGCGTCGCCTCTATCTGCTGCTCCGACTTGCCGCGGCAGTTGGCGATCAGGCGACTACAATTGGTCTGCATGTCGTCAATGGAATCGCGGAGCGTGGGGGCGCACGTGTCAGTGACGTGCTTCAGGTCGACGAGACGCTCACCCAGCATACCAGTCTTGATCTCAATGAAGCAGTTAACGACGGCCAGTTGCTCCTTCTTGCTCGCATCGTGCGTCTCGTCCGCCGTGGTGCAGTAGAAGGCGTCGGCTTGTTCATCATCAAGGAGCTTTCAGAAGATCTGGGCGTGGGCGTAGATGATGTCCTTCTGGATGTCGGGACTAGTCATGATGGAATTCTGCGGGGCGTTGTCGAGCGTGACGCAAGCCAGCTGGACATCCTGTTTGCACAGGAACTAAAGCAGCTCGAGGAAGTTGCTGCGGTTGAGAAACTCTTCCGACTCATTGTGGCCGTGGCAGGCCAGTCCCTGCTTCATCAGGAATCGAATCGCATCGACTGATCCCTCCAACGACTCCGATTTTCGGCGATCGCCTGGGCCGTCTGCTTCTCCAGGCCGTGCTTGTCCATGATAATATGCATCTCTGTGTTCATCATGTCTCTGACCTTCTGTACCGCCTGGTTGTGGAGTGACTGCACGTCACCTTGATGTTGGAGAAGGCAGCAATTGCGGCCACCCACCTTATTCCAGGCCGAGAACCCGTCCAAGACGAATGCGTCCGAGCGATTGCGGGATGGGAAGAGAAAGCACGGGAAGCGGTAGATCGACTCGGTGTGGAATGAGTATTAGAGCCAATCGTACGTCTCAAACCACAATGGCTGCAGGCGGCGCTTTTTTCGCCCCATCATCTTTGACGGGTACATGCTGCCATCCAACGAACGGGGGCGTGGAATGAGCCGGCCCTGCATCGGGTACGAACGACAGATCTCATTGACACTGTTCGGGTCATACGTCGAAATGGCGGGTCTCGTCCCGGGATCCCGATCGACGATGCGCACCCCTGCGGGCAATGGCGCTGGAGGTGGGGAGTTGGCTAGCGTTTCTGATTCCGATTCATCAGCTGCCGCCGCTGAAGACAAAGGATCAGGAGATCGCGATCGGTGACGCTGAGCTGGAGGACGATCTGGCGAACGACTCACCGGGCACTTCTGCAGCCATCGATCGAGGATTGAATTCGAACCGTATGTGATCGGCATCGCGCTCGTTGACGGTATGCCTTCAGGGAAGTCTTGTACTGTATACGCAACTGCGCACAATTCTGTGAGTCACTTATAACTGCTTTGCCATTACTTATTACCAATTACGGACTCAGACTATTGTCCTATAATCTCATAGAGTCCCTGGCACTTAATAATATGCTACACAGTGGCAGTGGGGGTCACAAAATGCCGATTTATTACGAATAAACCCCAATGATCCGATCGAAATTAGGGATTGGGGGGGCACATGCCACCCCCTCGTGATCCAATTAATTTCCACAATTCTTGGTCGATTTTTTTTTTGTTAAACATTGCGGTGGATATAGCGGCCTTTAGCAGCTGAAAGGGTTGCATGAAATTACATACAACATGAGTTAGACAATTCAATGCATGAATCGTGACGCCCATATGAACCACAAAAACCAGTTACACCATACCAAAACAACACCAAACAACCCCAACACAATACTTTTAAACCACTCTATACAATCTATCAATCAACCTAGAATTTATAAAGCACCATAATGCAGCGAAAGACAACCACATCACTAAACGCCTCCAGAAAATACTGTCAAAGTACACCATCACACCAAAGCAAAGCACCCATCCACCCCACACTTAAAGAGCACAACCCAATCTCATACAACCGTAAAACACTGGCGACACTGCTAAACCACACCACCAAACCACTCAGCCCATCATCCCTCTGGTGTCAATGCAGCAAGTACTATGTAGGGCATTCAACAGTGGCTGCCCTATGGATAGATTGACCCTTGCAAGAGAAATATGGAATGACCACCACCAGTTCAAGGTCTGTAAACAGGAGACGAGTGCCACTTCATTGCTCATTTGAGCAGGAAATCACTTTATATATTCCTCCAGCAAAGCTCACAGAATGACGGTGCTGTAGAAAGGACCTATTGTGAAGTATGCTTAGTCCCTCCAGATATTATTGCTGCCAGTCAGAGACTCCTTCAGCACAAAGTCTCTCAAAATGTTTTCTATGAAAATGCTTATATTCACTCTTTTTCTAAAAATAGTTTTGCTACTGTTTACAGTTTTTGATACATATGTAGTGTAATAGCGCCGACTGGTGGACAGCAGCGGTAACTGTGGTGGACAGATAGTATACACGTTGGTGAGGGTGTGCACGGTGTGTGGGCAGAGGGGAGGAACTAGGTTAAAGGTCACGGAGGACTCTGTCTAGAGGCCCTTGGAACCTGCTAGTGGGTTTGAGAAGGGAGGCGCGGTCAGGGTGGATCCAGGCTATGCTGGGAGCATAAAAGGAGCTGAGAGCAGTAGCTTGAACTGCCTGTTCTGGGAATGGACCCGTCTCGTCGTTGCTGTCATCTCGTCGCCCCTACATGGACCGGACGGCGCTCGACTCCTTAGCTGTGGAAAGGTTGCTGTCATTGGCGCAGGAGTTGGGGGTCATCCTGACGATCACGGAGAATGACGAATTGATGTCCTTGAAGGTGGCCTGGTCGATTCAGGCCAAAAATAAAACTTGCAAAAATGGGCCAAGGTGGCAGCTTGGACGGGAGATGCTGAGGTGCAGGTGCCCACGTGCCGGGAAGTCAAGATGGTGGCTGCGGTGTACGGCTATGGGCCGTGCGGGAAGGGCCACTACAGAAGGCCGATGGCTTGGAGTTGGCGAGAAGGGCAGCCCCTTCCTCCCTGGAGTCCCATGGCCACCTGCTTTAGGTGTGGTCGGCTGGGCCACATCGCAATTGAATTCCGGGTGTTAATCCGACATCGATAGTGCCAGCGACAGCCTCCACCCTGTGCGCTTCTGCTCCTGAAGCCCCACAGAATCTGAAACTCTGATGCCGGAAAATATCCTGAGGTCGCCGTGTGCGAGGTATCGGAGGCTGGAGCCCGGTCAAGTGCTGCTATTGAATCCAGGGAGGGGCTGCGCCTTTTAGGCATTTTTTTTTGGTGTTCCTCAGAGCCCCAAGAAGTACAAGATCCTGCCCAAGGCGGGGGACCAGCGTCATGGACTCACGTGAGCATTGTCCGGTGAAGCAGACTCTCCCTTGTACTATCTAATTGGAGAAAAATGGCATGTAAAGGGTAATGGGAGCTGAGAGGGGGTTGTGTGGTGCTGCGTGTTGTGTTGGTTGTCGTTTTTTATGGGGTTATTTTTTGCCTGCGCCGTGCGCCGAGTGTCACGGCTGTTGTGTTTAAGGTTCTCGGGGGGCGCCGCAATTGTGTGGTGTGCCTGCACGCATGCCGACTTGCTCGGGTGGATCAGTTGTTGGGTCGGCTGTTATTTTTAAACAAGGGGGCTGATGTAGTGTAATAGCTCCGGCTGGTGGACAGCAGCGGAAATTGTGGTGGACAGATAGTGCACACGCCAGCAAGGGTGTGCACGGTGTGTAGGCAGAGGAGAAGAATTAGGGTAAGGGTCACGGAGGACCCCGTCTGGAGGCCCTGGAACCTGCTAGCAGGTTCAAGAATGGAGGCACGGTCAGGGTGGAGCCAGGCCATGCTGGGATCACAAAAGGAGCCGAGAGCAGGAGCTTGTGGCTGCCATATCTGAGAATGGACTCATTTCATTGTTGCTGTCGTCTCATTGTCATCGTTGCTAAACGTCTCCGCTAGATATTGCGCTACGAAGGTTAGTAGTTGGCTATCTCAGTCAGCGCCGTCGGTGTTAGATGGCTAGTGTTGTTTACAGGCTAGGCTAAGCTACTGTGGAGAGTGTGTGGACGAGACCGTGAAAATTGTTAATAAAGAAAGTGCCTCCGAGAAACGATGTCTCTGAATCGTTGACAACACACATATAAAATGAAATGCCATGATTTCTCCTCAGAGCATAAAAAAGCATGGCATTCACAATATACAAGGCAGTGTAGTGAAAATACTGGAATTCTGGTGTGAAATGTTGCATATGAACAGCATCAGATAATTAATTTGAAGCTTTGATTAGAAGTGCAATTTCTGTATATTCATATCATCAGATACCATGAAGAGATATACTAGTCCTTAGATCAATCTGTCTCAGTGCTCAAAGAGCACGGGGTGTGCTCATCTTCCCATTGGTGGCCTTGATGCAATGGAGGGAAATTCCACATTAATATTGCAGAGGAAACGTTTCTCTATACGCCAATCGACAGATGACATCCCATAATCGCAGTATTCAATTTATTGACAGGAGATGCATAAATGGCTACCTTGATGCCTGGCTATGAGTAGGGGTTGGAACATGGTATTTTTCATGCAGAATAAAAATTCACAGTGCCTCTATACCAAATGAAATGTGCAAAGCAGTAACGCAATGTACCATCCACTTTGGCAATGTCCGTTATTCCACAAAATGTGTTGAACGATGCAATTCCCAACTGTTAGTCACAATTGAACACCTGTCTGTGCTCTGAGGATCATTTTCCAGAACATAAACAAATTACATACAGTAATGACCATATCTTTGTCACTCCTTTATATGCCTCTATAAAAGCAGTCCTCGAGCTCTATTCGAGACTAATCATTGACACACTGGTACTTTCCAGTACTCTTCTGTGGCTACTTTTTCAGGGGAGCTGAGCTTTACTTCTCCGAACGTCTATACAGTCTGAGTGTAACGACTGCAAAACTCGTGATTGATATGGCTATCTTCAGCCCCGATGGTTTCCACTAAGTTGAGTCTTGAACGATCAACTCTGATGGTTTCCACTTTGACGATTTCGAACAGTTATTCCCAATGTCGTCCACCTCTGGTCGTCGAATAGTCCCCGAGCAAGTGCCCCGACCGCGGGCCTCGCTTCCCCTTATATACTCGCTCGGCCACGCCACTATCGGACACTGCCCCCCCCACCCCACCACTTAATTATAACACGTGTGCTTACAGTGCCTTCCAGCCACCTATTTTCAACCATCTCAATTCGACCTTCCTGAACCTTCTCTTGTACAGTCCCCTACATATGTACGTTTAACTGCGGAGAAAGGACAACAAACTAAGCACAACATTTTTTTTAAAGAAATTAGATTTCAATCTAGATTCAAAAGTGCATATCTCGAGTGGCTTCCTCATATCAGAAGGTAGAGCGTTCCACACGGCCGCAGAAGCGCATCGGAAAGCACGCGATGCAGTGAGCATCTTTGTTTGATGGCTAGCCAAAAGCCGCTACGAAGATGACCAGAGTTCACGTGATAGTTTATGTTCCTTGACGAGATCAGCAAGGTATTGTGGTTCATTTGTGTCAAGCACTTTATAGATTTGAAGCTTTCGTGACTGCAAGGATTCATACTCTTAGGTTTTTTTTGGTAAAGTCACGTAGGTAAAAAATTAAATTAAAATTAATAAAAGTAATAATAGAAATAAAATAATAAAAAATCACGACGTTTCGGAGGCAACACAAGTCTCCGTCATCAGGTGGGACCGTCACAGCTAGATTTGCTGTATCAAGTGAGGCAGAGATTCCGAGATACAAGTTCTTAAATACAAGTTAAGGGGGAGGAGGGGGGGGAGCTTATCAGAATGTGGTAGCCAATGAATGGAACGTATTGGGAGGAATGGTGAGGCTCCGCTCTGTCTCCCGTTCTTATATAGAGCAGCAGCAGGGTGACGTCATCATTAACTCATTATTGCCCGATGATGCTGGATGCAATTACCAGCGAAACGTCGTACTCAAATTGTAAATGTTGTGGTTTCACGCTTCAACACACCGGTGGGCTAAAGCAGTGAACTATTTGTCTTTTGTCAACGTGACACTTTTTTATTGATTGGCCGTGTCGGGTGGTGGAGGGTTACGACACATTTATAAATAACGCGATCTAAACCCAAAAACGTTGATTATGAATAATATTGGTCGCGAAAGCCTACGTGTTAAACTACTTTAGAATAACAGTGGGTGTTGTGCTCTACCTGGTGTGGATGTTGTAGATGGAGTACGATGCCACGTAGGAATGCCGATAAACCTGCAACACACATGGAAACATGATCATTACTACAAATGAATTTTACACCTGAAGGAACTGACAAAATAACTTAATTTATAGCAGGCACTTCTCACGTCAGCTGAGAAACTTTCACTCCACCTTCACTTCATGTCACCATCAGTGATTGCAGATTAATCTTCTGTCCGTAGTTAATTGATCATATTTAAAATATGCTATAAAGAAGCTAAGCTATTTGTTGTATGTCCCAACGATTTCTAACCTTCTGCAACGTTGCAGTATGTTCGAAGTTGCAATATCATTGTTGCCATTTTCTCAAGTGGTGGCACTAACATTACCCTTGGGCTGGACTGTATATAGTCTAAAGACAACATTTATTCGTGATGAAAAGCTAATTGCCTCCATTGAAGTTCGTGCAACATTGATGAGCCAGGCATCAAATTACAATCCTTACACTGTGGAAATTTACACGATCACTGCTCTTAGAAAAGTTGCAAACTCATTCCCCCAAGACGAGCCGCAAGTTTGTTAAACCCACTCCGCGTGGTCATCTCATCCATACTTTGCACATGTTGAAATAACTTGTACGCCAATTACTTTTCCCTAAAACTTCTAAACCAAGCAGTTTACTTTCCTTCTATATTTATACTTTGGAGATATAAGTGAACAATTAACAGGCTGCTGTTTTATTAATTGTCTCTGTTTCCATCAAAATGTAATTGCTCGGAATGCTTGACGCAGCAGAATGACGGACCAGTCTCTATCGCCACGAACGAACGTTACGTTTCCGAAACACAACTCTAATGCGCACATAGTGCGCATTTACAATGTTTATTTATTTAATACATATAAGAGTAAAAATACACATTTTATTTCAAGCCTTCACATGTTTTTTATTATATATGTACAGGTGTTATGTATGCAATCTATGCTCCATATACATTATTCCAGATGTTACACAAGCTAAAAGTATCGTGACATACATGCAAGTAACCCATTGCAGGATGCAGTTAATGACAAAGAGAAATTAATCTACTGATTGACTTGAAATTGCACTGGCAGGGGGTGCATAATGCTTATACTCTAACAATTTAAATGAGTTACCTCCATGTATTCTCTTAAAGACATTTTATTTAAACAGAAATCTATTCTAAATGTAAGGTCAACAAACGATGTTCATAGTTAACTGTCTTCAAGACAGACGTGCACACATTTTATAACAATAATATGAATAAATCTTGACTTAAAGCTTTCGTGACTGCAGGAATACATATTCTATGGATCTTTCGGTAAAGCCACGTAGATAAAAAAATAATCAAAATATCACGACGTTTCGATCGCAACACAAGCAATCGTCCTCAGGTGAAAAATACAGCTCGTGACATTTTAAATTGGTTTCTATCTACGTGACTTTACCGAAAGACCTACAGAATCATATGAAAAATGTTTTGTTCCATAAATGGTAAATGTTCTCGCCAAAGAACACAACAGCAGTTCGGATTAACCTTTTAAAATGGTAAACTAAAACTTCATAGGTACTGTACCATAATCACATTTTGCACCAGAGACAACTTTTGAGCGAAGTTAAAGGCTTTTGTTCTGTTGCCACTCTAGGACAAAGGCTCCAAGTCACGTGATTGTTTGACTTGGATTTGTCTTCTAGAAAAGGAGGATATTTGCAATTAATCCTAAGTCGACGCGTTAGCGGCCGTGTCATCACAACGAGCGGAGAGGAAAATGTAAATGTGTGTCTTTCATAACGCCAATTTGAGAAAGTAATGCAATCGCCAGTTCAGCCAGCGCTCTCTTCATTGGCCCCAAGTAAACTCTCACAACCTTCATAAACCGCATCTACTGCTCAATGAACACCCTGGTAAATAAGAGTTTAGATAACGCCTCAGTACAAAAATTACGCAGGAGGTGCTTTAGGACTTAGAAAATAGATACATCCACCCCTTCAATCAATGGTAGGTAATAGGGATGAGTGTCAGATAAAATTGTATAGGATTTTAAAGGACAATTTTGGATCTTTTTCAGATTTCATTAAATACTAATTTAAATGTCTTCATGCTAACAATAGTGACATCACCTGATGCAACCTGACACCACGTTTGGTGAGAAAAAGAATGAAAATGAAACCATATGAGTGATCTTAATTTTGGAGCTTTCGTGACTGCAGGAATTATTCTTTGGTTTTTTCGGTAAAGTCACGTATAAAAATAAAATAATAAATTAAATAATAGCATACGACGTTTCGATTGCAACACAAGCAATCATCATCAGGTATAATGAAATAGCGACATAGAATATAACCAGAAAACTATAGACAGACATATAAGCAGACAGATATCACCAAGATACATAGAGAGAGCAACCCAGGTACAGAGAGAGGTGATCGTCTCTGTGGGGTGGCCTTAAATAGACAGAGGGGGGCGGAGGCAGAGAGAGGGAGGGGGTAGGGAAAACATTTACATGTCAATGAGTACGAAGGGAGGGGAGTAAGGTAAGCAGGCTTAGAGGGAGACAGAACACACTAAATTAAATAACCTAGCAAAGTATCGAAATGTTATGTAAAACGACACAGAGAGTCGGTCAACACACAATTAACGCATTGCCTGGTCGATTACGTATTTCAAAGATTGCTAAGTTAGAATTTAAGTGTGAAAATTCCAAAGAAAGACAAAACATAAAAAAAGAGGAACGGAGACACACAGACAGAGCAGAACCTAAGAACGATACAAAACGAGTGTAGACAGAGAAAATTACACTAAATATACAGGCAGAGAGAGAGAACAAGAAACCCAGAGAGAGAGAAAAAGGTAAACTTGGAACTTCCCCGTAGAAGTGGTTCAATCTTAATTTTGGAGCTTTCGTGACTGCAGGAATTATTCTTTGGTTTTTTCGGTAAAGTCACGTATAAAAATAAAATAATAAATTAAATAATAGCATACGACGTTTCTATATGTATCTTGGTGATATCTGTCTGCTTATATGTCTGTCTATAGTTTTCTGGTTATATTCTATGTCGCTATTTCATTATACCTGATGATGATTGCTTGTGTTGCAATCGAAACGTCGTATGCTATTATTTAATTTATTATTTTATTTTTATACGTGACTTTACCGAAAAAACCAAAGAACATATGAGTGATATAACTGGTTTTCAGATGAATCTGGAAAAAAAATATTTAGCTCGTCTGAAAATATCTTGTATATAAGCCTGGTTTTTGATTTTCGGATTAATCTAAATATTGGAAACACATGCTTCCTAGGTAGATTGGGTATTGATCTGTTGGCATTACTCCTGGTGTATAATAATTACCCAAAGGAAGTGCAGTGTTGGGTAAAAAAGTGGAAAATTCGGTGCATCGGTTAGTTTGGGCACGGCGCTGCCAAACAACGGCACTGCAGGTGCCCCCTTTATTTTGCTCAGGAATCAATAAAGAGAGGGACCTACAGGAGCAATCGCTCACCAATTTTAGTTCCATTCAGGGTAAACCAGGTGGAGAATGTGCTTCCTGCTCCCCATGAGCCGAAGTGCCCGAATAAACACAGCGGTGACTCAGCTGGGGATGCACGGGACACGGAAAGTGGCAGTGCTTCGAGCTTGATAGGTCATGCTGCCTGGAAGGAGTCCATATGTTCTCATTACACAGGAAGCCCTCGCTGGGGGGAATGTCCTGTCTTGGAAAATTCTTAATTAACCCTTGAGTATATTCCACCTCTAGCAAAAAGCTTTTTCTCCAATCATGCACAAACACGCATTCACATTTGCAGGTTTGTTTCTACTTTTGCAAATGGATCGCAAATTAAAATGTTAAATTCGTCAAATGAATAATTATCCAATGCAATGGGTAAACATGTATTGCTAGACTCTCCGGCGATATCATTACAAACCAAGCCTCACTTGTACGGCATGCGAGTTGTGTCCACTTCAATAGTTGCGTATGACTCAGTCAATTCAAGTTATCAAGTGAAGTAAGCTGATTTTCTCAGCTCCTTCCCCAAATATCAATTAATGCATAAAAAAAACAACAATGGTAACATTTAGATTTGCACATAATTCGATCTCACCCAACCATGCGGGCTAATTCAAAAGTTACCCAAAGAATTAAGGATGCAGTTGATATTCATTTTCTCGGGAACAATTTAGAGACTGTAATTTGCTGTTCAGTCAATAGAGTATCTCTTTATCAGAAGTCAATCGTGGGTTTCCTATATATAAGACTAGTTCCCACCACAGTAATGTGGAATTTCCAACATATGATAGGATAGCTCGAGATAGCCCCTAAAAATGAGAATCAGTCAACACTCAATCCAGTATGGAGACACACTTTGCCTTTTTAAATCCTTTATATTAAGTTCGCTTGCTTGCGTGCTTGCTTGTTTGCTTACGACCGTGCAAATCTTTCGGTCGTTTTTTAACCCACTTCCCGTAATCCAATCGAGCTGACATTTTCCACACAGACTCGTTGTGCATGACAATGAATTTTCGTGAAAAAAGATTTTCCAAAATTTTACACTGTCTAGGGAAAATTTTTTAAATATTTAATTACCAATTGCTTAATGCTGGCAGACAATCATCTGACCCATAGGTGGCAGCCATCTCAAGCCAGAGGACGAGAGGACTCTAGCCGCCACGCATATAAAGGATTTAAAAACTTTGTTTTTAAATCCTTTATATTAAGTTCGCTTGCTTGCTTGCCTGCGTGCTTTTCGTGCTTGCTTGCTTACGACCGTGCAAATCTTTCGGTCGTGTTTTAACCAACTTCCCGTGATCCAATCGAGCTGACATTTTCCACACAGACTCGTTGTGCGTGACAATTAATTTTCGTGAAATTTTTTTTCCAAAATTTTACACTGTTTAGTGAAATTTTTTAAAATATTTAATTACCAATTGCTTAATGCTGGCAGACAATCATCTGACCCATAGGTGGCAGCCATCTCAAGCCAGAGGACGAGAAGACTCTAGCCACCACGCATATAAAGGATTTAGAGTGAAAAACTTTGTTTTTACGGGT